TGTGTGTGTGTTAGACAGTGGGTGGTTGTGTTATTGTACTCCACTGGTGCTGCGCTCTGGGCCGATAAGAGCCCAGCCCAGGATTAGGTGTCTGTAGACAGAGACTTTTGTTGAGCCATCACAGCCCTTTGGTGCTCTCTCTCTCTCTCTCTTTGTTAAACCGTTGCTCTCTCTGCCCTTCTGCTCTGCCAGGCTTTGCCCCAGCTATCCTCAGCAGCTCTTGGTGCCAGCCTGGATCACTGACAAGGAGTTGGAAAATGTCGCAGCCTTCCGCTCCTGGAAGAGGTTTCCCGCTGTGGTTTATAGGTTGGTGTGTTTGTTTCAAGGCAGAAGGTTAAACTTGTTTACTGCCACGCAGCAATCAAAAAAAAACTTTCTTATGTGCTGAATGGCCTTTTTTTGTGAAATGAATAAAACCATCTTCAGATAATATCTTTATGGCTCCGTATCACTGCCACTGTGGACAGTTTACTTTGGCTTAGAAAACCACAACATACAGCTAATTACTAATGGATAACTCCCTCCAGGCTACATTTCTCTATTTGCCTCTATTCAGACTTTGTCAACATGGCCAAGACCACTGACTTAACCAATGACATACCCTGCGTCATGGCTTCAGTGAATTGTGGTTGTTGTATTTATCGAACAGCGCTTGGAAGCCTGTGATCCTTGTTTTTGGAAAACTACTCTGACCAGAAATGGCAGCCTTGTATGTCCGTTTCGTGCGTCACAGCACCTGAAATAAATGTGTGACAAAAGTTTGTTTTCGTAGCGGTAAAATTAGTGAATGTGGTTCCAACCTCTTTGGCTTATGAAAATGGGACATGGTCTGCTTTTGACAGATAGATCTGATTTTGAGCAGTTCAAACAAAAAATCATATGTCATTCTTGGAGTTTTTTATTAGATTGTTTTTAGAGCTATTCATTGATTGACAAATTAATCTGCAACAACGTTGATAATCTAATATTTTTTCTTTTTTAAGATTAAAATTAACCTATTGATAAAATTTTTTTTAAAAAGTCACAAAAATGCAACATACATAAGAATGATGCATCCAATTAATAGGTGGACTGATTAATGTTGTATTCCGGCTAACTTCTCCCCTTCACGTAGGCACCAGACCACAGGGGCTGTGATTGCCCGCTGCGGCCAGCCAGAGGTCAGCTGGTGGGGCTGGAGGAACGCCGATGACGAGCACCTTGTCCAGTCCATCGCCAAGGCCTGCGCCGTGGACAGCAGCTCCCGCAAACACCTTTCCAACGGCAGCTACACCAATGGCTCCGACCTGCCTGATACTGACTTTGGTAAGAGCTCACACTCACTCACTGACATACCGCACACGCCCACACACAAACACACACTTCCAGCTGAACACACACCTTCTACCTCACACACACCCACAGATATTTCCACGCTGAGGTCTTGTTGTCAGAATGAATAGCAGTGCAGTCAAACCTGTTGGGGCTTGTGTGAATCATCAGGCTTATACAAAACCACACGGATCACATTAACCTCTAATGTCAAACAGATTCTGATGGATGTTCCTGGACAAAACACATTAATGGTCTTAATAATTTATTGACTTTTTGGTCATGATAATGATCTCAACTGTCCCAACCCCCAGCCCTAGTTTCATACAACCTGAATTGTACTAAGAGAAATCTTTGGTGCGTTTTGTGTCTGTATCAGAATCCTCAATGACTAACAGCTCAGAGGTGGAGACGTTGGCCATCCAGCCCCACAAGTTACTGATCCTTGACGCCAGGTCCTACGCTGCTGCTGTAGCTAACAGGGCCAAGGGGGGAGGCTGCGAATGCCCAGGTAGGTCTTCTCAGTGCTGGCCCAGGTGACAAGCAGAATTAGGTCAATGTGTGCTGTGGATTCAGGAGCTCAGTTAACCGCAAATGCGATTGTTGCTCATGCTAAAATTAAAACAAGTTTTTCTTTTTCACCTTTTTAACAATTGTTTTCCTCCTGTTCCAGAGTACTATCCCAACTGTGAGGTGGTGTTTATGGGTATGGCCAACATCCACTCCATCCGCAAGAGTTTCCAGTCTCTGCGTTTCCTCTGCACTCAGATGCCTGATCCAGCCAAGTATGTTTTTTTTATGCCTCCAGCAGTGCCTCCAGTTCCCCTAGTCGTAACTCTTAAACTCTGCAGGCTAAAACTATTAAATCTAAAGCTCTTGAGCTTTGCCGTAGTAGCTGTAGGTAACTAGTAATCACAGCTGTGTTTTGGTCTTGGCTATACATCGGTGCCTGATTTAGAAAGCCTGGCCCAACCCCAAGTGGAGGATCTCTTTCCATCTGCACTCCCAGACTCAGTGCTACAATGATGTGTAATTGAATCACGCTGACTTAAGAGAACGTTGTTGAAAGTGGTTAGGAGATCAAACCAGAAGACAAAAACAGACTCTGAAAAATAACTTTGTATAAACAGGATCGTACAGTGGGCTTCTTTATTTAAATACAACTTGAAGAGTATTTTGCACGGACTGTATAGTGTTTATGCCAAAAACAGCAGGTTAGACCAATTTCTCAATAATTCTGTGACTTTCCAAAAGCTAAACCTAATTTGTATCAGTTTACAAGTTATTGCTGCTTCACTTGTTGACTTAAAAAAATCAGTCACAGACTTGTCTGTCTCTGTTACAGACGCTCCAGATTTGTAGATAAACAAAACACACTGCTTAGGATAATAATCGAGATAAGACAGTGAAACATTTACTTATAAATAAGTAGGTCAAGGTGTATGCATGAGTCCAACTGGTCATGTAATGTTTTGAATTATTACATAACCCTTATCCAAAAATAATTTCCTAAATGTTACCAAACACCTGCATTTTAAAGCTGCATTAATCAGTTTGTGGCCACTAGGAGCAGAATACCTTCCAAACATCACGGCTGCTGGCGTGTAAAGCTGTTTTTGTGTTAACGGTTGCCTACTTTTGCATCCAGACACTGTCATTCATTGACAAAACTCTAAATGAATGCTAATGTTGCTCTGTAACTTCTGGATGCGTGAATTAGTTTGCTAATAAGTTTGCCTTGTAAACTTAAACTTGTTTCTGCTGCCACCAAGTTGCCAAGAAATCAACCATACTTATCAATTGTTAATTCGTTAACCACTTTTGAAAATTTGAGCTAAAAAATAGATAGAGTAGTCAGTCAGTAGAAATAACACATTTACAGCATTTTGCTCTTAACTGTACAAATCGTAATGAAGTTGTTGACGGGTTGCAACTACTACTAGCTGAGGCTATAAATATTCTAGTATGTGGCACTGGTCCATGCTATGTACTGGTCCTTATAAAACATGTGCCATCACTTAGTGTCTGGGGCATATGAGGTCTTCTGATGTTTTTGCTCTGTTGCTGTCTTTGTCTCTGCAGCTGGCTTTCTGCACTGGAGAGCACCAAGTGGCTGCAGCATCTGTCTCTGCTGCTGAAGGCGGCACTGCTAGTGGTCAACGCTGTGGACCGAGACCACAGGCCCGTCCTGGTGCACTGCTCTGACGGCTGGGACCGCACACCTCAGATTGTTGCTTTGTCCAAGCTGCTGCTGGACCCTTACTACCGCACTATTGAGGTACAGATTTTTACAGCATTTTTTTGCTTTTATTTTGGGGGCACATTCCCATGAAAAGCAAAGTTGACATCATGTAATAACTGTTTTTGTAATTTCAACAGAAAAAAAATATTTCTTGTGTCTTCTAGTGTTGTTTTTCTAACACGCCACTGTGAGACAGTATTTTTTTTAAGCTCTTGTGACATCTTTGTGCAGGGCTTCCAGGTTTTGGTGGAGACTGAGTGGCTGGACTTTGGCCATAAGTTTGCTGACCGATGCGGCCATGGAGAAAACTCTGAGGACCTGAACGAACGCTGCCCAGTCTTTCTGCAGTGGCTCGACTGTGTTCACCAACTGCAGAGGCAGTTCCCATGCTCCTTTGAGTTTAATGAGGCCTTCCTGGTGCGTACAAGTTTGATGTCTGAAGTCAAACAAAACTATTGCGAAGTCTGAATCTGCTCAGATTCTTAGACTAGACTCTTGAGAATATTTTCAAGTACAGAAGTGGAATATGGCATGTGGCATGTCTCTGATTCTTCTGATTGTGTGCCACTGATAAGCACTTACAGTCTGGGTGTGTTCATGAGTTGTACTAGGAAACTCCTGTCATCTCTGCTTATTATCATACCTGAGGTTTGTATACAAGCCTCTACATGTCAAATTGTGTGTGTGTGTGTGTGTGTGTGTGTTTGTTTTTGCACAGGTGAAACTGGTGCAGCACACCTACTCCTGTCTGTTCGGCACCTTCCTGTGCAACAGTGGTAAGGAGAGGGAGGACCGCCACGTTCAGGAGAGGACCTGCTCAGTGTGGTCGCTGCTGAGACCGGCCAACCGCACACTGAGGAACATGCTCTACTCATCCCACTCCGAGACTGTACGTCCACTGTCTGTCCCTGTGTTCAGTCCTTTAGAAAGTTGTTCTGGTTAAATGTAATGTATTTAAAATATTAACCTAACAAAATATCTTTGAAGCATTTTTCTAAAAGGTATTTACAAACAGCAAGGCAAAGGATGAAAGCAGTTAAAGATGTAGAAGAAAATGTGTCAGTGGAATTAATTAAGAAGACTAGCCTCTGCAGGCCTGGGTTTCCAAATCCTGCAGGTTCAGACAGCAAATGCATTATATAGATGAGCTGCAGTTATTTATTTCATTCTGTCTCTCTAGATTTATTGCTAATTGTTATTGTCTCCAACTTGATTTAGGAGTCTATTTGCCACCCTTCAGAGAATTACATTTTTGTGGTAACTGTTGTTTTGGTGTTTGCATTTCTGTGTGTGTGGGCGTGTGTGTGTCATGGCCATAAATATTGCCCACTTACCATGAGGGGAAAATCATATTCTCAGAATTAACTTGCATTCTACTGAAATCTTTGTACAACGTCTTTTTTTTTTTTTTAAGTTATTTTTTTTGGCCTTTTGTTGGCTTTATTGATAGAGACAGTTGTAGAGAGACAGGAAAAGGTGGGTGGAGAGTGAGGGGATCACACCCAGCAAAGGGCTGCAGGTCCGATTCGAACCCAGGCCACTGCAGCAACTCCGTATATGGGTCGCCTGCTCTACCGACTGAGCTAACCGGCCACACCGTACAACGTCTTTTGATTAATTTTTTCACATATTCCAAACTTTAAAGATATGTTTCCAGAATATTTTCTACCACTATTTGTCATTCGCTCAGTCTTCTGATTACACCCTGAGTTAAGTTTGCAGCTGTTGTTGCAGGTTCTGCACCCAGTGTGTCACGTACGCAACCTGATGCTGTGGACGGCTGTCTACCTGCCCAGCTCCTCCCCCACCACCCCCTCTGATGACTCCTGTGCCCCCTATCCTGTGCCTGGTGGCAATCCTGAGGACACGCCCCTGGCCAGGTGAGCCTGGCACGCTGGCACCTGACCCCCCTCTCTTCCTCCCTCATGTAAGATGAACACGGGTCGAGGACTCCCACAGCCAGAGGCGCCCGGCTTTTCAACTCCACTGCTTAGATACTTTGCTCTGCCTGGGCCCTCACAGCCACAGATATTGTTTTATGCTCTGCTTATCTTTTGTCTTGTGACAGTCATACCATCAAGGAAGAGTAACAGGAAGTTGTTTCATTTCAATGTTGACATAGTTTATGACACATACAGTAGCTTAGAGACAATGTCTGAATGCTTCTCTTTCATTATATTTGTGTGGCATGTTTCTTGTTTTGATGAAGCTGATGTGATTGTTTTGTTAACTAAATATTTTGTGGCATGTGTGCAGCTACAGATTGAATCACAGGGTGTCAAACACACTGAGCCATTGTTATGTAATGAAATGCTGTTTTCCGTGCATAATTCTTCTTGTTTCTTGTTCAGACGTACAAAGACTCGTTCCTTCGATAACTTGCCCAGTGCATGTGAGCTGGGAAGCGCATTGGCTCCTAACCGCCGCTCCAGTGACCCGAGCCTCAATGAGAAATGGCAGGACCACCGGCGCTCTCTGGAGCTCAACATGGCAGTGGGGCCCGAAGGAGGGGGCAACCAGGATCAGGAGGTGCGGCCTAACGGAGTGGGGCCTTACCCAGACGGAGCGGACTCTGAGCTGGACGACAGCCCGCAGCCCCAGGGCTCACACGCTGAGCTCGGACAGGGGACCTCTGTGAGCCCAGCAGAAACAGGAGAGGAAGTAGAGGAGGCGGAGCTCTCTGTTGCTGTGGGCATGGCCGAGGGCCAGATGGAGAACATCCTTCAGGAGGCCACTAAGGAGGAGGCAGGAGCAGATGTTCAGAAAGAGGGAAGTGCTGCTGTCACACATGTCAATAACACTGTTGACACAGAGGTGGAGAAAGAAGCAAACGTTGAGAAGGATGATCAGTGTGCTAAGGTCAATGGGACTGAGACCCAGAGAGAAGCATTTGCCAATGGTCACCATCCAGAAGATGGCGTAATGGAGACGGAGGAGGTGGATGGTGAGTCTCCCCCTCTCCCCACACAGAAGGCAGAGGAGCTGAATCAACAGTCAGCTGAGGTGACTCAGACACCAGAGGATCTGGTGAAGCAGGATGTAGAGAACTCTTCTATACAAGAGGAGCTTGCACATGGGCCAAGTGAGTCTGGCTCAGGTGAGCCAGAGCAGCCTGAGGCCCACAGAACTATAACTAACGGCTTTGTGGACAGCTCACCTGAAGAGCCAGGTGTAGATGAGGAGACCTGCCCTGACTCTGAGTCTGACCATGGTGTCTCAGAGCCGGGGGAGCAGTTGGATAAGAGGGCCTCACTGATGGAAAGCTCTACAGAGACTTTAACTGAAGAGGCCTGCGGCAGGTTGGAGCTACCAGCTCAGCCGCCTGTTTGTCCAAGTCGTCAGCCCTGCAGTGACGACAGGAGCCAACTGCCCTGCTCCAGGAAAGAGAAAGCACTGGAGACAGGCGAGCATGGCTTTATCAGAACTTTAAACGGAGGCAGCAAGCGAGCCTCTGTCAGTGCCTTTCAGTCTGTGAGTGCTGACCTCAGCAGGGATGGGCTGTGTAACGGCGACAGCTCAGAGGCAGAGCCCTGTGGAGGACCTCACTGGGCAAAAGGGAACGGGGAGAAGGCCCCTCTTAGTCGACAGGTATCCCTAGCAAGCTGCAACTCCCTGATCCTCTATCCGAGGGGCAGCTGCTCCCAGCACCGCTGGTGCCATGCCCTGCTAAGCCGGGCCGCCATCAGCCCGGAGCAGCCGTCCCGCAGCCATCTGGACGACGATGGGCTGACGCTGCACACAGATGCCATCCAGCAGAGGTTGAGGCAGATCGAGGCGGGACACCAGATGGAGGTGGAGACGCTGAAGAAGCAGGTGCAGGAGCTATGGAGCCGCTTGGAGAATCAGCATCACGCCGGCTCCCACAGGATCAACGGAGACATGGGAGACGAAGTGGTAAGGTGCTGACAAGTTGAGCATGAAACTGACTGACCGGCTGATCTGTTTACCACCTGGATGTTACTTCTGATTGTCTGTGTCTCCCTCCACGCAGACCTCAATGACAGACTCTGAGTACAACCTGGACCCCAACTGTTTGTCGCGCTGCAGCACAGAGCTCTTCTCTGAGGCCAGCTGGGAGCAGGTGGACAAGCAGGACACTGAGGTGAGAAACGAGACTAACCTAAAGATCATTTTCGAGAGGGAGGGAACAAAACTCCCAAAGCAATGGTTGTATTTGTCTGTAGCTTGCATATACGGCCTTCAGATTTCATCAGAAATGGCAGTTGATGATGGTTGATGGTAGGTGAGCTGAGATCAGTCTGTACATTACAGGTGACTCGCTGGTACCCAGACCATTTGGCAGCCCAGTGTTACGGCTGTGAGAGCAGGTTCTGGCTCGCCACCAGGAAACATCACTGCAGGTAAGTACTGAAGGGTTATCAAGCTGCAGAAGCTTAAACCTTCAGCCACTCTCCCTGTCATCAACCACTCCTGTCTGTCCCGTTGAGGCTTAAAGAGATGTTTCTGCTGTTTAAGCTCGCTCCTCTTCTGTTCAGACTGAGTTTCTTGTAACGAGATGCATCCAGATTGTGTCTAGATAAAGCTGAAGAGGCTTTCAGTTCACACTGGGCATCTTAATGAGTCTGGAATTCATCTTGAGAGACCATTTTTCATGGGATTTCACTTCCTCTCCAGATATATCACGTTTCTTCAGATATGTGAAAAGATGTTTCTTTGACCACCCACAGATGTGGTTAAAACAATCTAATGTATCCTTAATATGTTTTGTATGTCTACTGTGATTAGGTTACACAAGATGCATTTTAGTTCTAAGTGTGTCAGGGCCTTTCTGTTTTCTCATTGACACTCCAATGATTTAGTATTGCACTTCCATACGCAAGAGACAAACTTTAAAGTCCCCCTCCAGTCAAAATTCTATTTTCTTTTGAATCCATTCTCAGTGGATGTGCACTGGTGGCTTCATGTTTCTACATCACACCGTACAAGTTGCATACTGGACCAGGACTGACTGTGACGTATCACATCACACTGTATGAACAAGAAGAACAACAGATTTTTGAGTGAAGGGGGGAGTTAAAGTGAGCTCCCTCAGAGCTGCTAAAGACATTATACAACAGCTCTCAGTGACAAGTACATTGGAGTAAACTGGTGGGGTGCTCCTTTAATCCAAAACCTGCCTTGTTGATAGGTCAATTAGATTTATTGAGTTATTGGATAGGGCTGATGTCTTAGAGATAAGATCCAAGAAAAAAAAGGGCTAGATTGAACGACAGAGTCTATTCAAAGTCTACTTGGAAGAGTAATTTGATGCATTTTAGTATTCTGTCTCGTTCTATTCAGTTAGTGGTATTTCCTCTGGTGTTATCATTTCCTCATATCACTGTTGTGCTCTTTACCTCCTTTTCTTTGTGGTGGGTTGGATCAAGTTAAGCACTTGCAGGCAGAAATTCGAGTAATGTAATGTCCAGTTGCTCATCCAGTGACGTCTGAACAGAGTTAATCTGTAGTTGGTTCAGCTATAGATTCAAACCACAAGTGTAGAATTAACAGTGTAGGGTTGTAGCTGTTTCACAATTGTAACACACATCTTCAGCAGGAAGTGTGTTTTAGTGTGTTAAGTGTTCTCCACTGCTTAGGCAGTTCTTATCCATTGTCTGCCCCTCTCCTCTACAGTGGCAGGGAGCCTGTCCAGGAGGTCTGGTGAGATCCGGCTCCCATGTCCCTCCACCACCACCACCCCACCCTCCACCTTTTTTAACCTGGCATCGCTGCACCTTCCTCCTAATCCCTATCCCTCCCCCCTCTGCTCCTTCCCCTCCTCACCTGCTTCATCTGGTTTCCCTTCATTTTGTCCTAGTTGTCAGCAAATTATCAGGGAAATCTCTATTCATTTCTGAGATGTATGGATTTGAATGTGCGTCCTGCAGCGCCAGTGTGTTTCCATTCAGCAGTTTTCAATTGGCTGTGACCGTGAGCAGGGTGCTGTCAGTGGGAGAGCTGGGATCGGTGGAGGGCTGATTGTTATATCACCTGAAAATTTAAAATCTTACAGAAAACCCAAAAACTGTGGTCTTCCTCAACCTCAACCCTCCTTCTGCCATAGCACCACGTCAGCATCCTGCCCTCCCACCACCCTCGACACACACCCCGGCAGCATGCTGCCCCAAACCAGCTCCTCTGCATCTCACCTCCCAGCAGCACAGCATGGTACTGGAGACCATTTGGTCCCACCTGGTGGTGTAAGAGGCTGGAGACTCAGGGTGAATTAGATGGGGTTTTTTGATCATTATTTCTGCTCAGGGTGAGTGCAGGCAGGTAGAAGGGACCACTGTGTGTATAAGTGTGTGAGCATGGCCTTACATCTGAAGCTGAGCATGGATATCTGAAACCTCCAGTGTGACCTGCCTTCCTGTCTATAGTGATGATCACGTGTTTTTAATGGGCTAAATAATCAAGTTAGCACCACTACATGATATAGCATCTTTTCTAACCCGGCATGTAGTGCGACATCACACACAGTGAATACTGTCTTTCCACCTATTTTATCATGTGTCCCCAGTGATCGACTGACAAGAACAAATGATCACTTTCTGTAAATCAATTTGAAATACATTTTCAGTATCCATTTTCAGTATCCTGTTCTTCACATGTGGGTTATCTGATCCAGGCTATGATAGCAAGCTAAAACGATCCATTAATTCTCATCTAACTAACTTCAAACATTGTCAGAGGTTTGATGTGTATATCTACTTTCTCTTTGCTGTAGAGCTCCATTGTTGTCCAAAAACACATTAGTGAGCCACACTGTTGCACTGGGTGATGTTGCTTAATTACCAAGAAAACACTGTAGTGTATTTTGAGTTCACCTCACACACCTCACACCATCCTGCTGATGTAAATACTCACTAGTGCACCAAATATACAGAAATCTGCCTCTGGAATTAGTCAACACACTCCCATTGCACTCCTGTTAGACACATTTGTTCAAAACAAACGAGAGATGAAATGGACTAAATAACACATTTACTTATTTTGTAATATCACAAGCCTTAACTTATAACTTAAAACATATTCTGAGTATGCAGTGAACCCCTTTCAAGATCTCTCATGAAGCAAAAACCATAGAGATGAAAAAGCTGATGAATTTCAGTAATCAGATTTACTTCTGGCTATAATTAACCTGTAATGGCAGGTAATTCATAATGAATGATTAATAGATTGTTTCAATCCAACTGCACTCTACAATTTGTACTTCTGATACAAAATTTTAATCAATTTTAGTTTTAAAATGAAGAATCCCCATCAAAACCAAATTTTTGTGGTTCAGTTGATTTGATCACTGTTGAAAATGTATTTTCTTTGTTCATACTATCCCAAACTGTACTTGTACTCTATTTTTAGGTTAACTGATTTCTTTTTTGTCACATAGTTTTGCTCTAGATTTTTTTTATTTTGTAGTCATCTCTAACGAAAGGAGTCATTTATATGTGAAAAATCTGATTCACAAAAAAAGCAGGTTTTAGCTCTAGGTAAACATTAGGTCAGCCTCTAAAAAAAATAGAAATCTAGGCTTTTATCAAATGATCAACAATCAAATCAAGCGAACTTAGCTTCCCATGTATGAAGAACAGGGTGCAGATGTCATGGAGCTGAATCGTATGCACAGGAGACACATGGTAATTGTAGGTGTAGAGAGGCTCTGTTTGAGAGTCCAGCAGTGACCTGTCTGTGTCTCCCTGCAGGAACTGCGGTAACGTGTTCTGTGCCAGCTGCTGTGACCAGAAGATCCCAGTGCCAAGCCAGCAGTTGTTCGAGCCCAGCCGCGTCTGTAAGACCTGCTACAGCAGCCTCCAGCTCAGCCCGGCCCCCCTGGACATGGAGCTGGAGAAACCCATTACGGCCAGCTCCAACTGAGTTTCAGAGGACCGGGACAGGACGGGGAGTCTGGCTGAGCCACCAGCTGCTGACACCGGCGCACTGCTGAAGAGCACAGGAGCTACACAGAATGTCCCATGTACTTTATGTGTGTGTGTGTGCTGCAGATATGGAATTTAATGTGTATATACAGAGGATGACGTGGCAGAGGAGCTGAATGACGTGATGCCGAGCGCTCTGAACGGTGGGTGTGCACAGGGGTGGGGGGGTGCGAGAGGAAATCACACGCTCGCCACACAGGAGGGTTTGTGGCAGTGACGGGACTGCACTCCGAGGCCAGAGGAGTGAGAATGGACATCCTGGTGCCTTGGACCAGGCAGGCAGAGAAGGTCGTCTCACTGTGTCGCTGAAGTCTCTTGGAGGGCTTTGGTCCATTGAATCATTTCCCCGCCTATCCACGCTTTTCATCAGACTTCTGCGTACCATCATGATCATCTCCCAGCCTGGACTTGATCTTTTTCTCTGGAGGGTGTTAGATCGGGATGTGGAAAAATGTCCTGGCAATCATGAGCTTTAGAAATGAGTGGATAGCTGATGCTCACAAAGGGAAAAGCTTAAATGGTCAGTTCACCCACATTACCAAAAAAGGTTTCCTCACATACCACTAGCGTTATCTAACCATGCATCTAAATGTCATTGTATTTGCCCTAAGGTTGCCACCACCCCAATCCAGTGGAGGGAATTGAATAAGGTCAATTATGCAACTAATTTCATTATCAATAAATCTGCAAATCATTTTATCAATTAAAGTCATATTTTTTCTGTAACATTTGGCCATTATGTCTCTCTCACATGTTCAGACCAGAAGTAATTCAGTTTAATAACATACATATGATAACAAAAAGTAGCATTTTACATATTTGGGAAGCTGGAACCAGAGTGTTTGGCATTTTTCCTTGAAATGACATAATTTGTGTAATTTGATTATTCTATTATATAATAACTTGTTTGTTGCTCACAGCACTGAAAGATGACCTTTCAAGTGCTGCTCCAATCATTTAGTGTTGCCTTCTGTATAGTTAGGGGACCGATTTATCCAGACTTTTATCCCCTAGTAGGGTTAAGCTCCAAAAACGCCGGGTTTCCCATAATGCAACACAATAGTGTCTTTAAATAAGATCCTTCCTGCCTGGTAAACACCCACATCTTTCTAACTCCACACAGGCTGTCCACACTTGCTAAAGCTCGTCCGGAGCCACAGAACACGACACCTCATTTTCATCAACATTTTCACAGCAGTCCTCCTCTTAAACAGTGAACTGGTCGTTATGTGTCCCCAACACTCTGGTTAATCCACACTTTTGTAATTTGGGTGAACTGACCCTTTAACATGCTCTGGGCTGAATCTCAACTATTTGCTTGCTTTTGTTTTAATGAGTTATTATCAGCTTTTCACACAGAATGGCACAAAGGTGTGTGACATTTAAATGCTAAATAGATTTGAAGGATTTCATTTTGGCGTGCAGCTGTGTCTGCGGCAGCGTTGACTTGGTGTTGAACGTGTTGAGAGTCAGCCCAGAGTGCAGACAGGATGTACCTGAAGGTTAAAGATTTTTTTTAACTTTTTAACAAAAATGCTGTTGGGATTTTCAAGTAGTTTTTTTTTTTTCTCTCAGAGTACTTAGTTACTTCATTTGAATCCTTATGTTGACCACAGTGAGGAGAGTAAATCATTCTCACCCCTGTGAGTCTTACAACAGGACTAGTTAGTGATCCATAGAAAAGCCTTTAGAACGTGCAACCCTTCAACAGCTGATGGCTGCCCGGCTCTTCCACGCTGATAGACTGTTATTAACCGCAATGTCTGCTGGGAGTGTAAACTGATGTGTTGTTAGTCTGTGTCAGACACACACTGACTGACTTCAATCTCTCCTGTTAGCCATACCTTCATGCCCTTCACTCACAGCAGCCCCCCTTTTTTTATTCTTTTTACCCAGCAGGCTCTGGGAGCTGGACGTCTCGCTCACTTTTCAGTGCTTCAGTGGAAATCACAAGTGAAGTTGTGAATTTGGCACGTTTAAACTTCCGTGTTCAAATTCTAAAGCAACATATTTTCTATTTCTTTTTTCTTTTGAGGCAGTGGTTGACAGTGACCTCACTTGTAATCTCCACTTCGATTGACTGAAACATGGAGGAGAGCAGCGGCAGCAGAAAGGGCTCTTGGTGTTTTCAAAAGTCTGTAACTCCACCCACGACATTATGTCAGAGAAGCTTCACTGAGACGCCCACTCTGCCTAACACCCATTCTATGACCTTCTTGCACACACACACACTTTTTGTAAAATAAATGAATAAAATAATATATTCAGATACCTATATAGCATCTAAGAAAAATGTATAGAATCCTTGAATAGTGGCTCACTTAATTAGTCACCAATTTTTTTTTTTTTTAATTTCTTTGTTTTCTTATGTTATTAATTGCAGAAAAATAAGTATATTTTGCAACCTGTTGAAGGTAACAGGTGTGTTTTTTTTTAAATAGAGAAGCAGGGTGTCCTGTTTTGATGCTGCAGTGGTTTTCCCTTTTCAATGCGACCATTACTTTGATTTAATTTATTCAGGTTTTGTTGTTCAATTGCTGTTTAAAATCCAGACAATTTAATTGCCACAGGATAATCAGTGTTTTATGAGATGGGAAATGAAAGATGGTTCTGACCTGTGGCTACAGTGACGCTCGTCAATTTTGTTCGGTATCAGCCAATCACAGCAGGTTTTGTGGATTTATCAATTTCCAGATTATGAGGAGGAAGCGGGTGAAGTCGAAGGTGTCGCATGGCACCAAGAGGTCACACACTTGACGGTCACATGTTAAAATGGAAAAACGAGCGTGTCTGTAGCCATTAAGACGTCTATGCACTGAGAACAGTGGTCCAAAACAAGCAGCCTGAACCCAAAATAACACCCCCCCCCCCAATCTCACACACACAAACATTACTCCATTCAAACCCATCTACAAGCACTACCTCTACTTTGTACACACACTCGTTCATGCGCACACACACATTCAGAGCTTGTAGTTGCTGAGTGACGCTCGCTTTCCAGATTCACACCATCGAGAATGGCCTTTTTATTGAAAATCTGTGGTTTTCTCTGTTGGTGCATTAAAGGTACAGCACACCACCGCAGACTTTCACTTTAATGATGATCTTATCACCGAGACTGCCAATCTTATTATTCCTCATCTCTCAGCTCGTCACGTCAGCAGAGGGCCCACATGTGCTTCATTTAGCAGCAAGCCAGATGGTCACTGTGGTTCGCCACAAAGGATGACAAAGTTTTGACTATCAGAGGAAATGCATAAATGTAAGTGTGTGACTGATTGAAACCCTGATACTATTTAATTATACTGGAGCTGTATTGCTGATCTTATGTTTCTGACATCTCCTGTTGGATTTCAGTCCAGCAGATGATTGCAGTGTGCAGTGGCGCCGCTGTTTAAGGCGGCCAGAATAACAACAGGCTTGAAGTGTTTGTTTCTCTCACTGTGGAAGTGGTGAACGCGTTTAATTCAACCGCTCGACCTTCGCTCTTTCAAATCGAGTAGAATACTAGGGATTTGTTTACCCCTCGTGGATGAGATGCTGCCATTACCGTCAGCGTAATATTTACAAAAACACGTGTTGCCGTGGAAACAAGAGTGGCGGTCTTTGCATTTAATCGAGATGGTACTTCTGCATTAAATGTGCAGCAAATTCAAATTTTGGCTTGACCCTGAGTTGCCTCTGTTTTCTCTCCACCTGCAGAGATAAAGTGGAAAACTGATCTGCAGCCAGAATATCTTAGACTGTTCCCTTTATAACGCTGATGTGAAGCTGGCCTGTAATCGTAGATCGGTGCTCCTATTAACAAATGATTTACTCCAAGGCTTCACACTCCTCCCAAAATGATGTCTATGTCCTAAATGTTGAAAATGTTTGCCAACACGTCATAATTCATGATCTCTTAAATACGGACTATCGTATGTCAACAAAGGACTTGATTTGAAAAAGGTGGCTCAATGAGGTGTCCACTTATCAGCCCAGTGTGAGTCCTTTCACTTTCCTCACAGACACACTGATAGCTGGCAGCATGAATCCTTTCTCTGTATTTTCACCACTTCACAGGCATGTGGGGCACCAAGCTTGTCTTGTTCAACAATCCATGAATGTGAATTGTTTAAAGAAAGAAAAAAAAAAAAAAGGCTATTTTTTGCACATGACATTAAGTAGACACTGCCACAGAGTGCATCAAAATAAAGCTGAAAGTGTGCTATGCTTTTCAGTATTGCACCGAGCATTATGGTTGGTGGTTGTATGTGTGTGGGAGGGTTGGGTAACGTGGTGAACAGGTCGTCAGCTAACACACACACACACACACACACAAGATGCCAGGCTGATCCTTTGCTGTGCTTTTTTTTTTTCCCCCTCCCAAGAAGTTCTGTTGGTCTGCATATGTTGTATTTCTCTCCACTCACGCTGACGTGCTCTTTCAGAGGCGTCACTGCAACGGCCCAGTAATCACTTGACGTGAGTGTGTACGTGTGAATGGATTGAGTGTGACTGCGTGTGTGTGTGTGTCTCTTTTGGTGGAGACTGGTGCCAAGCAGTTTTATTACGGGTCTCTCACAAAGGGATCACTCGTGCTTTTGTTTGATTTTCCTCCTTTTTCCCCTTCTGTTTGATAAGCACTTTGAACCTTCTCATGTCTGTCAGAGGAGTGTGTAGCTGTACATAGCAATTTCCTGTAACAACAAGTGCTCCTTGTTCAGTCTGAATATTTTGTTTTGTTGGATTTACTTTAAAGAGCATTACATTGTTGTAGAGTTAAAGGAAAAATAAACTAGATAAACCTACTGTGTTGTCTGCTAGCAGGACCTGATACATCTGCACACACACAAAGAAGAAAACAATCAGACACTTCAATCATGTTTAATGCATGTACGGTATACATCTCTAAAAATCAAGAAAAGCTTAAGATACTGTCTAACATCAATGTCTACTTACTGAATGCAAATTCAAGTGATTACATGACAGAAAAGAACAACCAAGAGAGAGAATCAAGATCGAAAAAAGCGACGAGTGCTGCTCTAAGTTAGTCATGCTCACCGATGTGACGAATGGAGGTGGTCTTTACTGGCTCTAAAGAAACGATACTAGAAAGTGACGACCCCTGACAATTACTAGACTTCATACCACTGCACAGAAACAGGACATCTGTACCACAATCAGCAGCGGCGGCAGTAGCAGCGGTCTAAGAGCAAGCTGAGGCGGCGCCAGCCAGCCTGACTGCACCACGTCCGGCATCAGAGGCAGAGCTGCGCGTTTCTTGACCTTAGGTTTGCTAAAAACAACACAAGGAACACTTGGAGCGAAAACATTGCTTAATAATTGTTTTACAAAGGATGGCCAGACAACGACTGTCAATAAAGCAATAATATGCAATTATATATCAAAGGCTATTTAGTCGAGAGGACCATACATTTGATCCAAAGAAATAAGACTGGTCATGTAACAAGAACAAGCTTTTAACTCCTGTTCAAATCCAATCTCATGTGCAAAGTGTTGCCTCCTCAGACCTCTTCCTCATCGTGATTTATGTGAGTAATTAAATGTTGGTTAGATTCTCTGAACAGAGAAGAAACTCAACGCGATACTTCAGATTCTAATGAAATGTTGATATTGTATTTCTCAACCAACGACATCATTAATCTCCCTGCAACATCTTTAGAAACTCATTTTTAAAAAAAATAGACATGGCTTTGCCAGCCGACTATTCCCTTTATCTATAAAAACTCACAGCAATATTTACAACTTTGAGTATGTCTTATAAAGTAGATTCTCTTGATCTGTAGATCAGTGAAGGTTCCCTGCCACCAAATCTACTGTGGGATTTCTCCCGCCAAAGCACGTGTCGGAAAAGAGGATTGTCGCAGGAGACGTCTCCCAGTGCAGGTTTATGTGTTGCTGAACGAGGAGACTGCACTATGTACAGGCAATGGGGCTGACAGCCTGAGTGATGTGTGTGTGCGTGTGTGTGCGCGTGTGTGTGTGTGTGTGTGCTTGCACTCAGAGTGGATCAAGGGTTTCCCAAAGTTTCTCTTCAACCTCCGGTCAGGAGCTGCGCCGGACTGGACTCACACCGATGACTGATCCCACACCTGCGAGAGCAGAACAGGAACAAACTGTCACATTCACTGGTTCAACAGCCGCCACCGTTTGAAGTCACAGTTTCTAGACGTGACTCTTTCAGACGATGACTTCACCGTACTGTGTGAATATCTTAAATGTCTAAAGGGCTGAATTCAATTCAGATGCAGTTGGAACAGTGTGCGTATATTCATATTGCATCCTGTTGTGCTGGTAAATTCCTAGTTACAGCTTTTTGTTATTGAATGGGAATAATATTTTTTTACATATGAACAGTTTTTCCCTAAACAAATTTCCTCCCTGTGGTGATAAAAGTGGTGATATTGTGTATTTTTGTTATTGGCAACAAATCAAATGAAGAGAGCAAAAACCAATGTATTTCTGATCTCCTGTCTGTGGCTCGCAGCCCAAATTTTGTTCCTATCAAAGACATAAATCTGTAGAAATACTAAATAAATACTTTGACTTTTAAGCAAAATCATTTCTTAAAAGAGGAGGGAACTGTAGTTTTTACTCGAACCGGAGTAATTACTGCATAAGGACGGCTGTGGCTCAGGTGGTAGGGCGGTTTTTATAGTAATCAGTGGTTCGTAATGGTTCGATTCCTGCCTGACATGACACTAAACCCCAAATTGCTCCTGAGGGCTGTGCTGTCAGTGTGTGAGTGTGTGTTTGTACAGGTAAGCTTAGTATGAGTGTTTGGATCTGAAGTGCTGTATATACCTTGCGTGGCAGTGTCTGCCATCAGTGTGTGAATTTAAAGCACTCTGTGGTCAGTAAACCAGAAAAGCGCCGTCCAAGTCTATTCTTTGCCGACTATTTTAAGCAGATTAATGCACATTTGGTGTAATAAGTATTTGGGGCAGCAGGACGGTTTATGTGGTATTGATTCAAAATAAACTACAGTGTGTGTGTTCATTGTAATGAAGGAACACCCAGTGCAACAGTGTGGCTCACTGATGTGGTTATAATAGTTTATAACTGCAGAGTCTATGGCGACACATAATACTTCTTACTAGGATACATTTATTGTTGGGTTTGGTTTTTTGATTAAATTTGTTAATAGAAAAATATCTAATATTGCCTCCATTCTTCTTTAAAATAAATTATTTTACTTTTTAATATATGGCAAAATACTTCTCTACAGTGAAGTGCAGCTCCAGGGAGCAATATGGACCAAGATCCTGGTTGTTTTCTTGCACTCTGACAATATGATTATGACGGACAATGAAGTGACGAGAGAGAACAAATCTAAAGCCTGAACATTTGCTGTGAGAATGATGCATTGTCTGTGAGCGGTGCCACAGAACAGAATAGCTTCTAACAGCGTTGTATGAACAGATGCTGCAACATGAAGAATAGGAGCGTGGATTATAATCAGATCTTTCAATATTAGAATACCTTACCAGAGGTAATGTTTGTTTTTGCTGCTTTCAGAGTATTCTCATGTTTTCTCATTTGTTTTTATACTGCCTATATTTCATGTTAGAACTATAATATTGAATATTGTTTTTATTGTGTATTATTATTTGAACCATTTTTCATTTATATTGTTTTTCCATTATGTTTTATTGCTATTTTTGCTGCTTACACTTTTTTTCTTTTATTTCCTAATTTACAAGAATCACAAGATAAATCTGAGGAGTTTTTGTTTGTTTGTTTGATCTCTTGTGTACTTGATTGACAGTTGACACAGAAAGCAAGGGAAGAACTCAGTTATATGCCTTAACCACACAGCCTCAAGGACCCCCTACGGTACCTTGTTCACAGGGGCGAGCTGCGTTCGGACAGACCCAGCATGGAGTCGGGTGCTGTCCCCGAATCTCCCAGGAGACCTCTCCCTGCGACTGTCGAGCACCCTGCCGGGCGACTTCTCCCTGTCCAGCGGTCGGGCGGGAGACTTGTCCCGTCTGAACTCGGTGCGGCCCTCCCGATAACGATGTGGGGTGCTGGGCTCCCGATGCAGGCCGTCATGGCTGCCGGGGCCTGAGGTCAAACGCTTGGTGATGTGCTCTGTGTAGGTGGGAGGGCCTCGCTTACTTGGACTACTGTGGAAAACACAGCAGAGAGCGGCGTCACTGTCTGACAATGTAATTAGGAAAACCGACCGTCTGTAAGAAACAAGATGTTCACAGTAGATGGCACTGTTGCTCTATCCAATAAAAACAATACCCGATCCTCGTGCTGTTTTTTACCTGTGAATCTGAACTAACAGGTCACAATAAATGTGTTTTGTAGGTGTTCAAGTGTTTTTAATCTGCCTACACACTATAATATGAATTCTGTATTTTTCTCTGTTTTGTGTTTTTGCTCAAACTAAAGAAGGGAGCTGACCCTCGGCTGGAGCCGGTCCTCTGCAGCTCTCCCGACTCTCTGATCAGACTTCCCTTACAGCAGATCACCCGCAGCTTGTTCTGGTAGGAGGAAGCCATGTAAATGGCCCCGGAGGAGATGGCTGGGCCCAGGTAGCGAGGGTTGGGGATGTCCAGGTGGGCCAGCACTGTAGGACTGGAAGTATAGGACAGAATGTGGTAAATATAGCTAACAAGCAAAAGGTTTTTCAAATTTGGTCCAAGGTAGCCGGTCTATCTCACCCCAGAGAAGCATGTCCCTGAACCTCGATGACGTCCAGGGAGTTGAAGTAGGTGACAAACAGGTAGGGCTCTCTGTAGGCTGAACCAGAGAAGAATGCAATGTACAATGTGATGCTGTACTACTGATTGCTGTAAAGCAGCAGGAGTTACAAAGTGTATTTACCAAAGGACAGAGGCAGACGGCTCCACTTAATGTCCTCAGTGCGGCTTCTTCGTCCGTACGTGTCCACAAACACTCCAAACTCTGCCACATAAACAAATATTAGAAGATATGGGTCACTCATCTTTACAGGTGGAATTTTAGGATTTGAATTTGTACTAATTTACAGCAAAAACATGGAGACTAACAACTAATTAACACTAAAACATACTTCTGTGTTTAAACTAGTGGTTGTTGCCTCACAGTGAAGGTCTGTACTGTTGTTATCTTGCGTCCACCGCCTACCACACTGTTGTAAACAGTTCATTCAAACATACCGTGAAAACACAGCAGGTATTCCTCCTTCTGCATGCTGCTGGCCACCTGCATGATGGCGATAGGGAAACTGTGGGAGGAGGCCGCAAACACTGCCGAGGCCAGTGACACATCGTTCTTGTCCAGGAACTCTGCAGTGGACGAATCAGAAGACCAGGGTTCAAACACTATGTGCCAGGCTCACAGAGCAGGAGGGTTCTAGGTTTCACTGAGAGCAGTTATCCTACTGTCAGATGAATCTTAATGTTGTACTGTGATTATGTGGTAGCAGATGTACTGTGTGATTTTACAGTCCCTCCAGGATTTCACGGGCTTTTTTTGGAATTGTCTAAAATTTCACTGCAGCTTTTCTAAAAAACTGTGATGCATGTTGCGATGTTTTTAGTGTAGTTTAGCATTTTTCTGCATTGACAATGTGTGCGAAAGGGAAAATTGCAAAAATAGTAGTGATTTTGGTATAATTCATAAAGAATCTAATCTAAGTTTTGCAGGGGGGATTGCTATGATTGGTCAACCTCGCGGTAAGCGACAATGATTGTTTAAATCTGTGATTCGACAAAATTGCAAGATC